GGGTCCCAGATTGGAGAGGGTGCAGGCCGGGCTGAGGGACACCCTCCTCCCACCCCGCACGAATTTTGTGCACCAGGCCACTAGTGTAGGTATGTGTCTTGACTAGGAATTGAACCTGCAACGTTTTGGTGCATGGGACAGTGCTCCAACCAACTGAGCCATCCAGCCAGGACACAGATTTTAATCCATTTTGAATTTCTTCTTGTATACATCAAACTAAAAAGTTTTTGCACAGCAAAGGAAACCATCAACAAAACAAAACACAGCCTACCAATTGGGAGAAAATATTTGCCAATGATAGCTCTGATAAGAGTTTAATATCCAAAATTTATAAATAACTCACGGAACTTAACACTAAAAAAATAAGCAATCCAATTTAAAAATAGACATTTCTTCAATGATAATATTCAAATGGCCAATAGACATATGAAAATATGTTCAGTATCACTAGTCACCAGAGAAATGTAAACTAAAATCACAATGAGATATCACCTCATACCAATCATAATGGCTATAATCAATAAATCAACAAACAAGTATTGGCGAGAATGTGGAGTAAAAGGAACCCTTGTGCACTATTGGTGGGAATGCAGACTAGTGCAGCCACTAAACAGTATGTAGGGTCCTTAAAATTTAAAAATAGAACTACCTATCACTCAGCAATTCCTTCTGGTTATTTATCCCAATAAATCCAAAACACTAATTCGAAAAGATATATGTATCCCTCTGTTCATTACAGTGTTATTTATAATAGCCAAAATATGCAAGCAACGTAAGTGCCCATCAATAGACAAATGGATAATGAAGATGTGGTACATATATACAATGGAATATTACTTGGTCGTACAAACAATGAAATCTTACCATTTGCAACAACATGGATAGATCTAGAAGGTATTACACTAAGTGAAAAAAATCATACAGAGTAAGTCAAATGCCATATGATTTCACTTATATGTGGAATCTAAAGAACAAAACAAGCAAGCAAACAAATAAAAACAGAAACAGACTCATAGATACAGAGAACAAGCTGATATTTCCAGAAGGGAAAGGGACTTTGGGGGTTGGGTGAAAATGGTTAAGGAATTAAAAAGTACAAATTGATACTTACAAAATAGTCATGGGTATATAGTCAATAATACTGTAATAACTATGTATAGTTCCAGGTGGGTACTAGAGTTATTGGGGGGATCACTTTGTAAATTACATAAATAATTATCCACTACTAGAGTCCCGTTACATGAAATTCATGCAAGAGTAGGCCTTCCTTCCCTGGCTGCTGGCACTGGATTCCCTCTGGCACCCGGGACCCAGGTTTCCCTCGCAGCCCTAGCTTCATCCAGAAGGACGTCCAGAAGGACATCTGGTCTAATTAGCATATTGGGCTTTTATTATTATAGATATTGTACACTTGAAATAAATGTAAAATAATATTGAATGTGAACTGGGGTTGAAAAATAAAAAAACTAAAATAAAATACTTTAATCACAGTTTAATTCCAAGTGGGACTCTAGTCCATTTTAGGGCTATTTATGTCTAGTTCACCCTTACTCATACAGTGTGAACCTCCAGAGACCTAACTTAAATATGAGTGCTTTACCGGCCTACACGGTCTTCATCCTAGGTAGGCCATGAACTCTTAACTTTTCTCTCGCTGGACTGTTATTCTACTGAAAGCTGTAATGACCTTCTCTGCCCACTCTGTTGACTGGCAAACAGCTGCTTATTCAAGAATTCACAGATGCTTCTGGGAAAATGCAGCCCTAAAAGCTGAGCTCATTTCTCTTGGTTACCATCTTTTCCTAGATATTTGCCCTTAATTTAAACTTCCTTGATAAGTCTCTAATGTTCTCAAATCAATTCAAAACAAATTTAAATACACTAACACATGTACACACATACCATACACACAGGGGCATGCATGCATATATCCAGTGTTTTTAGTTTTTCTCACAAGGAGGTTTGGCCCTAATTATCTAGCCAACTGTTATTAGAAGTAGGTTTCTATAATTTTCTTTACTTTTTGCACATGACATCCTAGAATATGAAGTACTGCTGTGTGGACACTATATCCTATGTATCCAGAACCTAATTGGCTGCCTGTCACACAATAAGCAATTACTAGGCTAAAAAAAAATAACATGTGAAAGTCTCTACAAGTAATTAGAAGGTGTGATTTCATGGTGAGAAAAGAACAGAATCAGTTCCGCTGGCATGGCTCAGTGGTTGAGCTTCAACCTATGAACTAGGAGGTCACGGTTTGAGTCCTGGTCAAGGTACATGCCTGGGTTGCAGGCTCGATCCCCAGTAGGGGGGATGCAGGAGGCAGCCAATCAATGATTCTCATCATTGCTGTTTCTATCTCTCTTTCTCTCTCTCTCTCTCCCTTCCTCTCTGATATAAATAAGAATATATATATATAAAAGAATAGAATCAGATATCATTTTAAGATTTCTAAACGTGGATAATGGTCATACTGTTCTCAGAAATGAAAAAAGTCAAGACAGTGGAAAAGCTCAGCTGGTGTGGCACAGTGGTTGAACACTGACCTAGAAACCAGGAGATCAGGGATGGATTCCGGGTCAGGGCACATTCCCTGGTTGTGGGCTCGATCCCCAGTGTGGGGCATGCAGGAGGCAGTCAATTAATGATTCTCTCTCATCATTGATGTCTCTCTCTCTCCCGTCCTCTCTGAAATCAATAAAAACATTTAAAAAAAAAAAGACAGTGGAAAAGAGGAATAGAATTGGTTGAAAGTTGACTTTGGTTTTTGGACATGGCTGACTCTGATGTATTCATGAGGTACTTAAGAGAAGCTGTTCAAAGCTGTAGATTTGAAGTTCTCAAAAGAGGTGGAGCTGGATACAAGATTCAAGGTATTTGTTGTGAGGGTAATTACTGAGAGGAAATATAAAGAGATAAGAGATGGAAGCTTTGTACAAAACATTAGACAATACCTAGATACACTTAGGGGATGATAAAGGAGAAATACCCTTAAAGAAAATAGATAAATGTTTAGAGTAGGCAAAGAAACTTAGAGGAATGCAGCTTAATGGAAGATAATGAGAAAAAGAGTTTGAGAAAAGCAATTATCATGGCCAAATGTGGGTGAAATCAATGAAGCTCTGGGATGAAAGTTGTCCTAACAAATGCCACCCATCTTCTGAGTAGTAAAGGAAGGCAGGAATGTGGAAGGTTGAAGAGATTTAAATTTTTAAGTAAGAATAAAGGTTTAGAAAAGAATGTAGATGATTTTAACTGGTCATTAATAAACAAATTAGTGAACAGATTTGAGGTCTTAAAAGAAGGCAGATAAGCAGTATTTGAGTGGACATGATTTGCAAAACTTTGTGACATTTTTCAACAAGGTTTGCATCATGGGGTGGGGTCAAGAGACAGAGCTAGTTCTCAGGAAAACAAGAAATTCACTTAGGCATTTTAAAGATTGGTAAATCCTATAAAATAAAGCCCTAAATCAACCAAACGACAGAATGATGGGTCACTATGATGCACACTGACCACCAGGGGGCACGCACTCAATGCAGAAGATGCCCCCTGGTGGTCAGTGTGCTCCCACAGCGGGAGCGCCACTCAGCCAGAAGCTGGGTTCATAGCTGGTGAGAGTGCAGCTGCGGTGACGGGAGCCTTTCCCACCTCTGCTGCAGGCAGACGGTAAGGAGTGAGGGGTCCTGGACTGCAAGAGTCCTGGACTGTGAGAAGGATGTCTGAGTGCCTTAAGGCGGCAGGTGGACATCCCTTGAGGGGTCCTGGACTGCGAGAGGGCACAGGTCGGGCTGAGGGACAGCCCCCACTAGTGCATGAATCTCGTGCACTAGGCCTCTAGTAGATGGAAAAGAGAATGGAGATTAGGATACAGATTTGGGAGTTATCTACATAGAAAAGACAGTTGAAACCAACAGTATATGCAGATATTTGTGTCATAAATTCTTTCAGTAAAAAATGATTTCTTCTTACAGAGAAATAGCAGCTAATCTAAAGTAGCTTCTATCTTCATTAATATGTGTAGATTAGTTTTTGAGAAACTGAAAGTTTCCTTATTGTAATTTGAAGAATAATCCTATTAAAATCAGTTGGCTATAAAAATCCTAAAATTATAATTAAAAATAAGACATTCATAAAACTTGGTAGGATTACAAATGTATTCTAAAGTACAGCAGTTATTGCATCAATATTATGGAAAAATTCTCCGACCCCTTGCTTTTGCATAAGCAAGGCATTATTTGGGGAAATCAGAAACAGTAACAAAAGCATATGTAGGCCTACTGTTCTACCAGTAGAGACACGAATGGCCAAAATGTTTATAATCAACATCTGTTCTAATTGGTTAAGTGGTTAATGCAGTATTATTTGTGTAACATTTTATTTTTTTAAAATATACTTTATTGATTTTTTACAGAGAGGAAGGGAGAGGGATAGAGTTAGAAAATCAATGAGAGAGAAACATCAATCAGCTGCCTCCTGCACAACCCCTACTGGGGATGTGCCTGCAACCAAGGTACATGCCCTTGACCAGAATCAAGCCTGGGATCCTTCAGTCCACAGGCCAATGCTCTTGAAGCTAGTTTTCCTGAGAACTAGCTCTGTCTCTTGACCCAAGACAGAACTAGCTCTGTCTCTTGAGCAAAACCGGTTACAGCAGTTGTGTAACATTTTAAATATAACTCCTGCTCCAATGATATTATATTTACCAAATTATTTATATATAACATTTCAATACTACTAAAATTCTAAAGTACATTTTGCATATATTACTTTATTATTATAACAATCTTTCACAACAAAAAGGAATCATTTGAGCCTTCACTTTAATGATTAACCCAGATACAGTTATTGCATACTTCTTTGTTACTTACTGAAATTATGCTCAAATTAAAAGCTTTTCTTACCAATAAAGTGACCCTGAATAAATTTACCTGCAAACTAAAAGCCACTTCACATACAATACAGCAGTTATTCTTATTAAAACAAAATTATCATACCATTTGGTGATGCCATAACAATCTTTAATAATATCCTGAAGGACAGCACGATAGAAGAGTGATTCAGTAGGCAGCTGAAAAAAAATGTAGACATATATAAACACAAGAAACAAATAACAGAAATCAAATCAATACATGAGAGTTGGGACCATAAGTGAATGTTAAAAACCTGATGTGAAACCTAAGATACAATTTTTTTTATAATTTTTCCATTCTAAGTTAAAATGTTACCAAAGAAAAATGAGCTAACATTCCAAATGGAGTGCTTATCCTATCTAATAATAGACAAACATGGTAATTAACCATAACGTTGCTACCCTTCCCATTGGCTAATCAGGGCGATATGCAAATTAACTGCCAACAAAGATGGTGGCTAATTTGCATACGTAGGCGAAATGATGGGAGGCGAAAGGGGAAGGACGGAAGAACGGTGATCGGAAACCCAGGCGGCAGGAAAGAGCCGGGTGGCAGGGTAAAGGCACTTTGCCCTGCCCCCTGCCCTGGATCCAAGAACCCGGGCAAAGGCCCGCCCCCCAGCTGGTGATCATAGAAGCCGGGCGGGGCAGAGAAGAGGCTGCCAGTGTCTGCCTCTTCCCTGCCCCCAACCCAGTGGTGATCGGTGACCCCTTGAGGCAGGGAGGGACCCAGAACATGGAAGCCATCCTGTCTGGCCACGGGAGACCTGATCGCATCCCCAGCAGCAAGGCAGGGAGGGACCCAGAATACGTGGAAGGCGTCTTGCCTGGCCGTGGGGGACCAATCATGTCTCTGGCGATGAGGCAGGGAGGGACCCAGAACACGCGGAAGCCAGGTCTTTTTTTTTTTTTTTTAGATTGTGTAATTATTTATTACAAATAAACGGTGGTTTCACATCTGTCAAAAACAGGTCCTCTTTTTACATGTGTGTGCAGGTTTTGATGTACAAGAAAGGGTCATGTGCTTAGTTCGTCTATGCAAAGCTCACAGGTACATCACTAAAAACTTTAAAGGCCTAAGCCTTTAGTTGGACATCTCCCGAGGGCTCCCTGGCTGCCAGAAGGATGTCTGACTGCAAGGTTAGGCCTGATCCCCCGGGGAGTGGGCCTAAGTCAACAGGTGGACATCCCCCAAGGGGGTCCTGGACTGTGACTGGGCACAGGCCAGGCTGAGGGACCCCCCTCCCCGAGTGCACAAATTTTTGTGCACCGAGCCTCTAGTCAGTTAAATATGTAGAAATAGACTTTCATAATAAGCCACATCTGTGTAAGACAGAATATATGTGAAAGAGAATGTGGCTTTGTCCTAATGGTGGTGGACTAGAGATGATATTATCTAGGATCAACATCCAGAAAGAGATGGTACTACCCTAAGTAAGGTCACATTAAAAATATGTCTGAGGCCTGAATGATCATAGCATTGGCTACTTGTAGGCTGGAAAAAAAGAACCTTGGAATCAACATAGTATCAGAGATTGAAGTCTTGGCAAGGCTTCATTTCCTGGGGAAAAAGAGGTAGGAGGTGTCCATGAAGGCACAAAGGTTTCCCCAAAGGTAAAAAGGAATGGATGAAGACAAGGGCCCCAATGAAGCATGATACTTTCACAGAAGCAGAAGATAAAAACAATATTATATAGTTGACCCTTGAAAACATTATGGTTAGGGGCGATGACCTCCACACAGTCAAAAATCTGTGTATAACTTTTAAGTTTCCCAAAACTTAAGCTGTCCCTCAGTAATATGAGGGGGACTGGTTCCAGGACCCCTTGCAGATACCAAAATCTGTGGATACTTAAGTCCCTTAAATAAAATGGCAGAGATCAATGCACACGGTTGGCCCTCCACATCCATGGACTCTCAACCATGGCTAGAGAACAGTATAGGAATTTATTGAAAAAATAATCACATACAAGTGGATCCATAGAGTTCAAACCCATATTGTTCAAGTGTCAACACAGAGAAAGAGTGCACAGAGAAAAGGGTATTTTACAGTAGCAATGCAATAGGTACTTTTAATCCAAGAAACTACGAAATTCATTAAACTCCATTCATATCCCAAAGATCTGTTGATATTTAGTAGAGAAAAAAATCAAACTCAAAATAATATCAGCTTCCATGCAGTTATTATTAGAAAAAAAAGAAAAAGAAGCAAGAATGGAGGGAAGTCAACAATATTAACTGCTTTTGAGAACTCAATTAAGATAAAATCTAAAAACTGTCCAATGACTTGATACAGTTTTAAAGATAAGAGTTCAGTGAAATGTATATATTCACTGAGTTATCCTTTTGTAACTCCTATTTTTCATCAAAGACCAAACATTGTTATTTTCATCTGTTTCAACTGGAATGTTTGGATTCAGATGGAGTTTAGCACAAAATAAATTTCGCCTGTGTGCTCAGGAAGAAAACCTACTTGCTGTCCCTCTCCCCTATCTAATGTCAAGTTCCTACACAGGGGGCCCCAGATGCTGAGACTCAAAACACCACAAATTGAGAGTTGAAGGTCCACCATTATATCTTGGGTCTTCGCCTGATGGTACTACCTTCTTAAGTCACTGAAGAATGTCTTGTAGGATCCTAATAGAGCACTTTGAATGAACATATGTATCTTTTCTGGATGGTGGGAGTAGTGTGGAGGGTGATTCTAGTAAGAATGGCATTGGGAATACCAGCCCCTGTCTCAATTCTTGCAATAACTCACTAAAAGCAGACATATACACATACTTGAGTGCCCACACAAAAATTTATAACCTTTAAAAGGCACATTTCTTATATAATTATTTTTCCCAAATGGAACTCCTTGAGACTTCCACTTTCCTTTCCTGAAACATTTCATATTCCAAACATTCATACTTAAAAACATTTTATTCAAAATTTCCAATCTTTGGATATATTTTTAATTTTGAGTAATTTATTTCGGCAGTACCCAAAATTTCTACTTTATCATCTGTGCCTCACTTCTCCTCCCCTTAAATATCCTTCAGTTCTCTCACAAAAATGTCGAAATCACTTTTCATCTATTGACACCTACTCTTATATTGTTCTATTAAAATTCAAGGCATTTTGGGAAATATATTATTACACAAAGTGAAATATTAGTATTACAAGTGGCTTACAAAGTTCTTAATTTGATTAGGTGTAAGAGATGGGGACTTTAATTTTATGTGACTTTTATATAAAACTCCTAAAATAGTTAAAGCTCTCCTTTGCCATGCTTTTGAAAATTACATAAAATTATATCAAGATAACTGAGAAATAAGTGTATATTTACATTGTTATTAAAAATCAATTGTGGAAAAAAGTATAAGTAAGACCAAGAAATGCATTTTAACAAGAGAACATAAAGAAATGGGGCACATAGAAAAATGCAAACAGGATGGAATAAATCATCATTCCCAAGTTACTCTGAGTAAATAAGAACTTTACAGCTGTTTCCTAAGAGGAAGGGAAGAGAGTAATGAAGTGCCTTCAAATGTGCATTCCTGGAAAAACTAGGACTATCTATCCTGGTAAATACAGAACGGGGTAGGTGGGAAGGGAATCAACATTGTCAACATTTAAGCAGCCTAGGCCTGACTATTCCAGGAATAAACTGGATGTGGCTCAGATTTTACTTTCTTTCCTTCACAAGTGATAAATCAACTTTACGCTTTAATGCATGTTAAAATGGGAGGGAGCAGAAAGAGTGCACCATTAGAGAGAGAGAGAGAGAGAGAGAGAGAGAGAGAGAGAGAGAGTGTGTGTGTGTGTGAGTGTGTGTGTGTGTGTGTGTGTATGACATGCATTTTACAGGTCTTGTGGAAAAGGTATTAAACTGGAAGTTGGGACTTTGCAATTAACTAAGGGAGCTGGAATACATTATTAAAGTTCTGCTGGGTATCATGTTATGTAAGTTTGGTATAATACCCAACTCATAAGATTGATTGTAAACATGAGCAAGTATTTGGGAAATTGAAAAACATCATACAAATGCTTTGGGACATTATTATGATAAAGGCACTTTTGTCTTCCAGGCTCCTAGGGAACCACTACGTTGATATGCAGTAGAGGAGTAAAAGGCTTGGGATTCAAAGTCAGAGATTCAAATCTCAGGGTTCACTACTTAACAGTTTCTTCAAATGTATCACAGGATAATAATAGTACCTATCTCATAATACTATGCATATAGTATGCTTCAGTTGATGAAGAAAACTTTGAATAATGCTTTGTAACCTTTGTGTTAGATTTAAATATTATTTTCATAACCATAATTATTAATTATCCATAAGAGCAACAGCAGTTGACGTTTATTGAGCATTTACCATGTGCTATACATTGTTTTAACATTTAACATTTTTCATTCATTTAATTCTCACAACTCTATGAAGAAGGTATTATTTCTATTCCCATTATTACTGTTATTATTCCTATTTTACACATAAAAAATTAAGCTACAGAGAAATTATGACATGTGTCCAAGGTCACTAAATAAGTAACTATTGAAGAGAAAATGCAAACTAGTAGTTGAAGATTAAAGCACAAGCCCAAACAATATGCTCTAATGCCTTCAAAAATTCAGTTTTTATCAATTTTTAGATGGTGACATTTAAAACAAAGTTTTTAGTATTGTGCCTGGTCTAAGGTAAGCACTTAGTAAATGATACTTGTTGCTATTATTTTAAGCTTACTATTTAAAAAAATTTAAATTGACATATGATTCTTGAAGAGAAGCAAAGAGAGGTTTCTAAAATTTAAGTCCAATAAGAAAAATTTTGTGAAAAGTTTAAAAAGAACTCTTAAAAATAATTTTTAAAAGTTCCTAGCATGTTTCATGAATTTAAGGTGGAGGATTAGGAAGTTATATGGATATTTTGGTGATACATTTAACTTCTATTTTTGTGTGTAAACCTATTTGGCTGTTGCAATTAATGAATAATCAAGACAATAAAGAAAAAAGTTAAAAACAACCAATTGTAATATGTATTTTGGATTACAGTCAGAAAATAAATTTAATACTATACCTTGGTTTTCTTGCTTAAACTGAGCCTATTAAAAGCCTGATAGTCAGTGATAGCATTCTTTAGAAATATTTAAAGACTGGTTAGTACATTATGAAGAAATAAGACAGTACAAGAGTACAATGTGGAAATCTTCCTAAAAGTTCAATTTACTTTTTCTGAAAGTTCACTTATCTTTTAATGTAAACTTATAAAAAGAAGTATAAATATAAATTTGAGGAGGTGACAAAAAAGAGGTGATATTTATGAAAATCCATCAGGTTTTAAGTTCATCAGCAGGTCAAGTATGAGGAGCACTTGAGAGAAAACTATCGTGTTCATCAGCTGAATCATATAAACACCAGATAACTTACCCCTTGGCCAACTGCAACCCGCTCCAGTGCCTTTAAGGAGAAAAAAAAATAAGACTAAGATGGCTGATATATTTAGTCTTATCATATAAGACTTATAAACATACTGTATAAACGCTTGTAAAAGTGACATTTAAAAAGATTAATTAAGTGATAACATGTATGTTTATACACTTAAAAGTGTTAACATCATTAAGGAATGTTAACTAGTTTACTTACATAATTTAGGGCTGATTTATAATATACGTGTGTCACATACAGAAACACACACCCCTACTGTATATAATCCTTGAATTTTAGAAGGCATTAGAAAACAGGAAAGAAATGAAATGACATATTCTTGGCTCACTTTTAGGGTAGCTAAAACAATCAGATAAATCCAGAGCTATTCTTATGCATATACATAGACATTTATATACTACTTTTAAGCTGTTTTCTTCTAATTTTTGTAAACATAGAATACATCTCTCATTAAAAAAATGAACAGATTATAAGTAAATGTTTAGTTTAGAAAAGTACATATGTTTTTGGTCTGCAAATTCAACTCAAATTCATACATGATCAAGTGAGAAGTAGAAGAGAAAGTTAATACATATTTTTATAATTTTATATGTAGCTGATTTTAAATTTGTATCTTCTTAAGATCCAAAATATTTTTACAAAAATTTCCTAATATTTCTAAAAAATACTCTTAACCCAATATATAAAAGATATATATGTACGATTTATTGGAATTTAAATGTGGAATAGAGGCTACTGAAACTTTCATATTTGAGAGACATATATTTCTACGCTCACATAGTTTTATAAATAATTTAGATTAAAATATTTTAACTGACATTTTAATTAGAAAATATTTCAAACATTAAGAAAAGTACCAAAAACATAATGGATCTGCATATACTTTCTATTCAAATTTAAAATACCCATATTTGCTTCAGATTTCTGTTTTGATAAATAATACTTTTTAGATATAGCAGAATTATCATCCTATCTAATAATAGAGAAACATGGTAATTAACCATAACTTCGCTACCCTTCCCATTGGCTAATCAGGGAGATATGCAAATTAACTGCCAACAAAGATGGCGGCCAGCAGCCACGCAGCTGAAGTGAACATGAGGCTTGCTTGTTCCAGTGACGGAGGAAGCCAACGTTCCCCGTCTGCTGCAGCCCAGCTCTGAGCTCCAGATGCAACAATGTTGCAATTATAGAAGCTAAACAAACCCAGAAACCTGCTTTTAGCCACCAGCAAGCTCAGAGCTTAGAGTGCCAGTGATGGCAACAGAGTTTCAATTATAGAAGCTAAAAAAAACCCAGATGCCTGCTTTCAGCAGGCCGTGGCCACGGAGCTGGAGCCAGCTCTTTGCTCCAGTGATGGCAACAAAGTATCAATTATAGAAGCTAAACAAACCACAGATACCTGCTTTCAGCCTGCTGTGGCCTCAGAGCTGGGAGTGCCAGTGACGGCAACAATGTTTCAATTACAGAAGGTAAATAAATCTCATTTCCCCAAAGCCAGGCTAATGGCTGCCAGTACAGCGGTGGTGGTGGGAGCCTCTCCTGCCTCCTCAGCAGCGCTAAGGATGTCCAACTGCAGTTTAGGCCTGCTCCCCGCTGGCAAGTGGACATCCCCCAAGGGCTGCCGGGCTGCCAGAGGGATGTCTGATTGCCATCTGAGGCCCACTGCCCTGGGGAGCGGGCCTAAGCCAGCAGGTGGTCATCCCCTGAGGGGTCCCAGACTGCGAGAGGGCACAGGCCGGGCTGAGGCCCCCTTCCCTCCCCTTCGAGTGCACAAATTTTTGTGCACCAGGCCTCTAGTATAATTATAAAACTGAAGAATAATTTACAAAATATCTTGTTAAGTGCAATTTTCGCAGATCCACAAGGTCACTGACGAGGTAAAGTAACATTGCTAGTTAGCAGCTGAGCAGGGACATAAAACTTGCTCTGTGAACTCTAATTTACTTCTCATACTTCATACCATGTAGATTCAGTGGGAAGAAGAGTTCATTGTATAAAAATTTGTTTTACAGAAATTATTTTAGAAAATATGTAATTTTCCCATTGACTTGAAGGGTACCTTCACTGAATATCTAGTGCCAGAGTTTTATGAATACAAGAGATAATTATATAATTTTTCTATTAAAGAGAAATAGACCCAAAACAGGTTTATTATTGAAGAAAACAATGAGTTTTCATTTATAGTACTTGTACCAATTGCAAATTAGATTTTCGTTATGGCTTTTGCTAAAAGTCGAACTGAATACAAAATAGTTTTTAACAATAAGTTATTTGATGTCAATAAAATATCACATAACACAAGGCTACTTTCAGTATGTGTTGCTGATGAGTTTATTTTAGAAATACAAATTATAAACTTTGATTACATAATAAAAGATAATCACATAGGTAATAAGAAGTGTCTTACAAATATTAATATTTTCCTTGGCCAATAAATAAAGATAATGAAGACAATATAGCAAGTATTCACTTCATACAAAAATATTTTGCAGTTTTGTTAGGCTTAAAGTATGTTTACAAGATTGCACTAATCTAATTAAAAGTTTATTTCTGGTTAGTGCCCTTAACAATGTATCTGAAGGCATCACCAGAAAGGTATTTAAAAAACAACTACAACATAAAAAAAGCCCCTTAAGCTTTGACTATTTGTGGAACCGATCAGTTTTAGAGCAAAAGGCAATAAAACAAGATGCACCACAATAAATATTCCTTATGCTTTCCAGGATGACTCTAGCATCAAAAAAAGAAGCCCAGGTGGGCAGGAACTGGAATGAAATTTATAGAGAGGCCTCCTATGGTCTACAAATTCTATATTTTGAAATTTACTTTTCAAAAACACTTCTTTTTAGGTTTTTGAATGTTTATGCTTATAGTGTACATTCCTGTTCTGTGGATACATTCTTTTCTCTTTTTTTGTGATGTTAGTAACTATTTTCTTTTGGATAGTGTCCATTACTTCCAAGTTGCTTTTTTTTCTATTTGTGTATTGGACCTTGATTCTTTCATAGATTTTTAGCCATCTACTGACAATTCAAATGGGGATATCACAGACCTGAGTAGAAGCACTGTGCTTATGAGGGAGGACTATTAATTGTGGGCCTCACCATAAAGGTGAGATCGGTCCTGTTTCACTGAGAAATACCCAACGCCAATATCTTTAGGCCTTTTCTGTTAGAATAGTCAGGCTCCCGATATTGAAAGACTATTTCATTTCTTACCTGATGGCATGAGGTAGAATCCTGCCTGCCAGCGTTCTTGGAACCAAGTCATTCTAAGAATGACCTGCCATTCTAACAATACCTTGAACATGTATCATTTACAGATATAAATAGAGAACAAGATAAGGTTGCAAAAAAGAATATTAAGAGGACATATAAAAATAAATTATTATTTGAGCATAAGTAGATTTCTAAAATAATTCTATGATACATGATTTAGAACACTGGTACACATTTTTTTATATTGCAATGTTATTAGCATAGGTATAATGGTCATAATATTAATTTATCTTGGTGTTGAACATTAAACACATTATTTAATCAACCATATTTTAAATTTCTGATGACCTAAATAACGCACTGTTTAACCTGCAGCTGTTCCTTTGTAAACCATTATAGCACCAAAACCAGAGAAGACCATGGGATAAAGTGTTCTAGGTCTAAGGACATTAGACAAATCAAGCACAATAAAGGTTTTATTTAACTAGATAGTTATTTCATATTCCAGGTAGCTTAATAACATTTTTCCTATTCTATAAAAATTAGGAGACCAAATTATCTTCTATAAACACAAATACACCACAGAGCTGTGGATAGAGCACTGAACTAATTCTCTGTTTAAGACCTGGTTGCCCTGGCTGATGTGGCTCAATTGGTTGGGTGTTGTCTGTGCATTGAAAGGTTGTTTGTTCAATTCCGGGTAAAGGCACAAGCCCAGATTGCAGGCTCGATCTTCAGTAGGTATATGCAGGAGGTAGCCAATCAATGTTGCTCTCATATCCAAGTTTCTCTCTCTCACTCTCACCTTCCTCTCTCTCTAAAAATCAATAAAAAATCTTACAAAAAAAAAACTTGGTAGCTGGTACATTTTATATAACAACTGAAGTAATTATATTTAAAAATTAAGTAGATTATAGTATAACTATAAACCGTTACCATACTGCATGTAGAGTGATAATGTTGGGAGAGAAAGTCCTTTTTCCCATAATTTGAAATGCATCAATGATGATGCTCTGCAAAATGTGGCATTTAATGCATGGTATTAGCCAAAAACAATACATTCTGCAACATCTGGATAAAGTTCTTAGTCCAGAAAAAAATGCAATCATACCAAACATGCTGACATTCTGGCATTGCGACCACACGACCATCTCTCTTCCTTTAAATAGTGGCACATTGGAAATCCCCACTTTTCTTGGGTACATTCTGCAGATGGGGGAAAATATGGATTATTTCAATAAAATTCTTCCTCTTTCAGTTAAAGTAAATAATCTATCGAGAAAGCAAATCAATCACTGAGAGGGTCAAACAGTAGTTCAACATGAAAGTGGTAATGTTTAACAGTTCATTCCAGATTCTTAATTGAAAGCATATTAATGTAATGAAAATGGTATTTTCTCAACAACAGCTGTTGGTGTTTAAGCGCCAACAATTTAAAACCAACCAAAATTATTTCTGTAAGATTTAGCAAAAGCAGTTTAAAATAGAAATACTTTTCATGTTCAGTGTATAGTAGATGATTAATGAGATACTGGACATTTATTGCTGACCTGACTTTCTAGAAAAATGATCTATCAAATATGACATTTGGCAGTTTATTACAGAACAATATTAATTCACTCCTAACAATGTTGAAGTATCATTTTTTTCAGCCACTGTTCACTTTTCAAAAAAAAGAACAGCTGTAAAGGCTTTTCTTTTTTCATCATATTAAGAGGCTGAAATATTTTCAACTGTGATTCAATCTGGCTCAATTGCATTTATGGTTCAAGTAACAATAACAAAAATCAACATTCATTGTTTGTCCAACTGATGTAGTTACATATTCAACTTGCTGATGCTTAAAAACCTTATGTAGAACTATTACAAAGTTTTTGAAAAGGAAAACCAATTTCTATTTTAAATTAAAGCCTGAAAAATAAGAGCTTAAATTTTATCAAAACTGTGACAAAAGAAAATTGTGATAAGTGAAATTATTTTATTAGATTAAAAAGTAAAACCGAACTAAAAACTTGAAAACAAGAAAACTCTAAAAGAAAATATGGAGGTAAATTCCATTAAATAAACTTTTGTGCTATGTAGGATCAGATGATTTTAGATTAAAATAGAGAAAGTTTAAATTTCATAGCCCTCATAAGCCTGTGAAAATGTTTTCTTTCAGGTAATAACTTAAGATTTATAATAGACCCTACTAATAATCAGATGGAAGATATGGACCTCCCGGGAATAGAAATAATAATGCTACTATTTACATAGCATTTAATATTTTTAGCACTATTATAAGTGTTTTAAATGTATTAACTGGTCCCCACAGCAATTCTATGAAGTAGGTATACTCTTATCTCATGTTTCAGATAGGGAAACTGAGCACAGAAAGGTTAAGTGAATTGCTTGCCTAAACTGCAAATCTAGCACATGGCACAGCTTGAATTTAATTCCAGGAAGTCTGATTTCAGAGGCCATGCTCTTAACCTCCAAGATATATAAACAGCTTCACTTACAGTTACATAGGTCTCATGGAGCCCTTGAAACTTATCCAGGTCCTAGGGACCCTGGACCACTTCCTCTGTTTCCAAGATGACTTGAAACAGAGGCTTGAGAAGGCTTTATGATTTAACTCAATTATTTCTAAATGAAAGGGCTACTATAAGTAGTTTAATTTTCTTCTTACAAATAGACAGAAACACCTAGATCTTACTGTAAAGGGTAAAGCGTTACAAAGATGGAGTTCTTCCTCCTCTCCATCCATTCTCTCTTTGTCCCTTGTATTAAGATAGCACTCAATTTTTAGCTGTTCAGATTAGAGACTGCAATTCCCAGACTCAAGTGCAGCCATTAGGATAGCTACAAGACTAAGTTTTGCAGAACTGAATGTGGGCAGAAATGATGTGTGTAAATTCTAGGTGAGATGCTCAAAGGGAGGGGCAAGCCACCTAGGACCATGTAAATAAGAGCAGCACAGGATGGCGCAACAAAATAAAAGGATTCTGGGTTCTTGGAAGACTTTCCGTTACAGAGCTCCGCTCCAATCACCTACTTCTGGATTGAAAAGTAAATTTTCCCTCTGTCACTGTTACTTTGAGTCTGAACAACTTCACATCTAAATCTTTATCTTAATGTAATGCTTTCCAAACTTTTTATAGCTCAGCACTCTTGGAATATGGCAAAATTTGTATGTCAAACTGGAATAATCAGAATATGATGATTGTGTTGAAGCAAAACCCAGGGGATGCAGGAAGCCGTGTCTCAGGAACACTCACAAAGTATCCACAGTTGGATAGTTCTGTCCTAATTATGCAGAAGTCTTCTTCGAGGATGTGATATTTGAGCAGAGACTTAACTGAGGAAGCAAACGATGAGATTAAGGGAAGATCTAATGAAAGAAAAAACCCAAAGAAACAAACTAGGTTTTAAAAGAATTAGTTAATACCAAAAAACATAATACTAGCTTATCTTATAATTTAAAATGATAATACTAGCAATTTCCTAACTTGTAATATCTCAACCAAGTGCCTAAAAAATGAACTTATTACACTGGGAAAGAGGAGACTAAAGTCAACTTATTGCACAAAAGTAAAGAGAATCCCACTCAAAAAATATACAGTGAATTTGTAATGAAAGATATAATTAGTGTACCATCACTGCTCTGCAATTCACCTTATACTGCTAGGAAAAAAGCATGTCTACTTGCCTGTAAAAGGTAGAAGAATCCTACCTCAGTAATAATCTAAAGAAAACTTTGAAAAAGATTACTACTTAATATTAGATTGCAAGTACAACAGTATTTCTGGAAAATTCATTCCATTGGAAGGGGTATATTGTTTCTAGGAAAAAAAATATAATATAAGAAACTCACACCCAAGTTACTCCCAAATTCTTGATCCACAGAAACTGAGAAATAATAAAAATTATGTGGCTTTAAGCCATTTAATTTTGGGGTGATTTCTCAAATAGCATTAGATGATACACAGTGTAGAAGTAGCATTAAGGAAACTAATTATCTCACACAAGGTATGTGAAACAGAAAAATCCACTGCTTGAGGTGTATGGGAAGTGTGTTTCTTTAGGGAAAACTTAGGTTTTTATTAGAAAGAGAATAAAGGAAATTTCAGAGAAGAAGTTGCAGAACATACGCAATTTTGATAATGACAGACTGAATTCTGAAATTTGAAATTTTGAAATTTGAGGAAAGGTGGAAGACAAGTCACAACAAATGATATAGACACATTTGATTAGAGGTACCCCTCTGGATGCTGACTCATATGGACTTTGTCAGTTGGTTCCTATACCATCTAGCTGTTGACTGTGTTTGGCCAATGGTGAGTCTACAGAAGATTGGAGACAGAAAAGACTAAGGTCAGAATATTCATACTGATTGAAGGTCACCTCTAAAGGCAGCCAATTCTTAAATCATTCTCCTTTAAGGTTTCAGTTACTTCTTTCTCCCCTTACACAGGCATGGTAAACCCCCAATTTCTATACTATTTCCTCTTCACTGGTATCTTTGTAAATAATCCATTTGTAAACAAAATTCAAATTATTCTAATTGATGTGTACCATCTGCTTGTTTAACTCCCTGATTCCCATTTCTCTTAGAGTAAAAGACTTGTAGTGTCCGACACAGCTCTACACAACCCTCCACCCAAAGCTCTGACCTCTCTTATCTCCTCTCCTCTCCTACTGTTCCCTAATCTCCACTCTGGCTTCTTGTTATTCCTCAAACACACCAGATTGTCTTCTTGTATGGAATGATTTTCCCCCAGCTATCTACTTTGTAACTCACTTACCTTTTTCAACTCTTTGCTGAAATCTCACCATTTAATGAAGCTACCTCTGTCTCCCTATTTAATTTATTCACTTAAGTTATTTATTGTTTATTGTGCCTACCCCCCTCCCAACCCACACAACTGCCCTGGTCTCCATTAGAATATAATGTACGCTCTCTGTACACAGGGATTTTTGTTTCTTTTGTTCACTGGTGCTATCTCAAATTCAATATATATTTTTGAATGAGTGAAAGAATGAATGAACTACTATTGTAGAAAAAAGTAAGATACATGCTAAAATGGTGATAATGAATATAGATGTTTATAAAACAAGTAACTTAACCTCAAGAATTACCTGTCATAGCAAACTAGCAAAACTTATATCCAATATTCTCATGGAAGTATCACAATTAATTTTTTAACTTTGCCTCCCCACTACCCAAGCTTTTCTTCATTAGCATTGCTATGTTATGTTTTTAGCCTATCCATTAGCACTGCTTCATAGCAGCTTTGATCAATGTGTGTTTTTATTATTTTAACTGGCTACCGTACTTACCAGCTTTGTGTCATCTTGGGAAAGTTACTCTCTAACTCAGTTTCCCTGTCTGCAGAGAGGAAAACTACTGCAACAGTTTTGATATTAAATAAAAATGTAGGTAAGGGTTTAAAACAGTGCTAAGTATATAGTAAGTGCTTGAATAATGTTATAATGACTGTGATTCTAAAAAAATAATATTTACTTCTACTTCTGTACTATGAAGTTATTTTTCTACGAGTTTTACATTACCTGATACTTAGTAGAATAGAAGAAACTGTTTATTTAATGAATAGAGGATGACTAAACTAATACAATTTGTTCTGGCTTTCCACTCTTTAGAATGCCATCTCTGAAGTCAACAAAAATAATCAACCTTGGCCATCATTTTATTTGACCAGTCCATAAATTTCATAGTATTAAAATTCTCTGTTAAAATTTGCTTCTCTTTTGGTTTTGATAACAGGTTCTTCTTTTCAAAGGCCCTTTCTTCTGCCCACTCTTCAAACGTTAGTGTACTCAATATTACATTATGGCAAGTTTTCTGTTTCCACTCTTTAAATTCTTTTCTTGAGCAATTAACATCTACTCCTTTAAATTTAATCTCTACATATCTCCAGTATCTTCTTTCTGAATTTCTAAATAAAAATTTTAAACTGTTTGCTTAACATTTCTAAAATTAAATATATGCAAAACCAAATTTCCTAAGCCCACAAATCTGATCTTTCCCCAGTAATATGTCATTATATAATCAACCAAGCTAAAACCTTGCCATTATCTTTACCCCTCATTGCCTCTCCCCCCACCCATTTCCCCACCATCTGTCACCAAGTCAGTTGGTTTACCTTTGAAAAGTCCTGGCAGTTTTTGACTTCTATGATTCTTATCTAATGTATCCTTGCTTT